GTTCTATGAAGGACCTACAGGACCTTCTAGAACTCAGGTCCAAAAACAATATCCTTTTTATTATAGGGGACTGGAATGCAAAAGTAGAAAGTTAAAAGAGACGATTCTACACATGCACATCACCAGATGGTCAATACCGAAATCAGATTGATTATATTCTTTGCAGTCAAAGATGGAGAAGCTCTATACAGTCAGCAAAAACAAGAGTAGGAGCTGACTGTGGCTCAGATCATGAACTCCTTATTGTAAAATTCAGACCTAAATTGAAGAAAGTAGGGAAAACCACTGGACCTTTCAGGTATGACCTAAATCAAATCCCTTACTATTATACGGTGGAAGTGATAGATTCAAGGGATTAGATCTGATAGAGTGCCTGAAGAACTATTGATGGAGGTTTGTGACATTGCACAGGAGGCAGTGATCAAGACCATCCCTAAGAAAAAGAAATGCAAAAAGGCAAAATGTTGTCTGAGGAGGCCTTACAAATAGCTGAGGCAAATAACTAAAGGCAAAGAAGAAAAGGAAAGATATACCCATTTGAATGCAGAGTTCCGAAGAACAGTAAGGAGAGATGAGAAAGCCTTACTAGTTAGTGATCAATGCAGAGAAATAGAGGAAAACAAATAGAATGGGAAAAACTAGAGATCTCTTCAAGAAAATTAGAGATACCAAGGGAACACGTCACGCAAAGATAGGCACAATAAAGGACAGAAACGGTGTGGACCTAACAGAAGCAGAAGATATTAAGAAGATGTGGCAAGAATAAACAGAAGAACTATACAGAAAAGATCTTCATGACACAGATGACCATGATGGTGTGATCACTCACCTACAGCCAGACATCCTGGAATGTGCAGTCAAGTGGGCCTTAGGAAGCATCACCATGAATAAAGCTAGTGGAGGCGATGGAATTCCAGTTGAGCTATTTCAAATCCTGTAAGATGATGCTGTGAAAGTGCTGCACTCAATATGCCAGCAAATTTGGAAAACTCAGCAGTGGCCACAGGACTGGAAAAGGTCAGTTTCCAGTCTAATCCTAAAGAAAGGCAATGCCAAAGAATGCTCAAAGTACTGCACAGTTGCACTCATCTCACATGCTAGCAAAGTAATGCTCAAAATCCTCCAAGCCAGGCTTCAACAGTATGTGAACTGTGAACTTCCAGATGTTCAAGCTGAATTTAGAAAAGGCAAAGGAACCAGAGATCAAATTGCCAACATCCGTTGTATCATGAAAAAAGAGAGTTCCAGAAAAACATCTACTTCTGCTTTATTGACTATGCCAAAGCCTTTGACTGTGTGGATCACAATAAACTGTGGAAAATTCTTGAAGAGATGGGAATACCAGACCACCTGACCTACCTCTGGCGAAATCTGTATGCAGGTCAAGAAGCAACAGTTAGAACTGGACATGGAATAACTGACTGGTTCCAAATAGGGAAAGTAGTATGTCAAGGCTGTATATTGTCACCATGCTTATTTAACTGATGTGCAGAATATATCATGCAAAATGCCGGGCTAGATGAAGCATAAGCTGGAATCAAGATTGCCAGGAGTAATATCAATAACCTCAGATACGCAGATGACACCACCCTTATGGCAGGAGGTGAAGAAAAGCTAAAGAGCCTCTTGATGAAAGTGAAAGAGGAGAGTGAAAAAGTTGGCTTAAAACTCAGCATTCAAAAAAATAAGATCATGGCATCCAATTCCATCACTTATGCCAAATAGAAGGGGAAACAATGGAAACAGTGACAGACTTTATATTTTGTGCTTCAAAATCACTGCAGATGGTGACTGCAGCCATGAAATTAAAAGACGCTTGCTCCTTGAAAGAAAAGCTATGACCAACCTAGATAGCATATTAAAAAGTGGAGTCATTACTTTGCCAACAAAGGTCTGTCTAGTCAAAGCTATGGTTTTTTCAGTAGTTATGTGTGGATGTGAGAGTTGGACTATAAAGAAAGCTGAGTGCCAAAGAATTGATGCTTTTGATCTGTGGTGTTGGAGAAGACTCTTGAGAGTCTCTTGGACATCAAGAAATCCAACCAGTCCATCCTAAAGGAAATCAGTCCTGAATATTCATTGGAAGGACTGATGCTAAAGCTGAAACTCCAATACTTTGGCCACGTGATGCAAAGAACTGACTCATTTGAAAAGACACTGATGATGCGAAAGATTGAAGGTGGAAAAGGGGGTGACAGAGGATGAGATGGTTTGATGGCAACACCAACTCAGTGGACATGAGTTTGACTAAGCTCCAGCACTTGGTGATGGACCGGGAAGCTTGGCGTGCTTCTTGCCCATGGGGTTGCAATATGTCGGACGTGACTGAACTGAACTGCTAGTGTTTTAGATGAGGATAAGTGCAATAGAGGAAGAAATAAGAAAAGTAGTGAGTGGGTGTTGCAGTTTTAAATATGATAGGTAAAGAAAGTCTTAGTAAGAAGCTAACATTTGAACAAAGATGTTAAGGAGGTGAGGGCAGAGTGAGCCATTTAAATATATGAATGAAGAGTATTAGAAGATAATGTCAACAATTAAATTCAAATGTCCATTTCACACGGAAGCAACCTAGATGCCCATCAGCAGACCAATGGATGAGGAAGCTGTGGTACATATACACCATGGAATATTACTCAGCCATTAAAAAGAATTCATTTGAATCAGTTCTAATGAGATGGATGAAACTGGAGCCCATTATACAGAGCGAAGTAAGCCAGAAAGATAAAGACCATTACAGTATACTAACACATATATATGGAATTTAGAAAGATGGTAACGATAACCCTATATGCAAAACAGAAAAAGAGACTCCGATGTATAGAACAGACTTGTGGACTCTGGGAGAAGGCGAGGGTGGGATGTTTCAAGAGAACAGCATCGAAACACGTATATTATCTAGGGTGAAACAGATCACCAGCCCAGGTTGGGTGCATGAGACAAGTGCTCGGGCCTGGTGCACTGGGAAGACCCAGAGGGATCGGGTGGAGAGGGAGGTGGGAGGGGGGACCGGGATGGGGAATGCATGTAAATCCATGGCTAATTCATCTCAATGTATGACAAAAACCACTGCAATGATGTAAAGTAATTAGCCTCCAACTAATAAAAATAAATGAAAAAAAAAAAGAAAAAAAAATTCAAATGTCCATTTCTGACACCAGGGGAAGAGAGAATTGGGGATAAAACAATCATCTCAGTGATTTTATACTTCCTATTCTATGCATATGTTATTTTTTCTGGATAAAAAGTTTTTAATTGCTGTTAATATATTTGTATCAGTTAACTATTACTGCGTAGCAAACCATCCCAAATCTCAGTTATTTAAAGCAACAAGCATATAATAAATGTAAAAAAAAAAAAAAGATGATGTCAAATAAGTAAGAGGATGATTGATTATATTGGTCCTGCAGAGGCTACGGTTAAGGACTTTGGAAGAATGAAATCTTTTCCGCATATGAAAGTATTTTCAGCATAGGCATACATTAATGTGATTTTTTTAGAAGGGTCACCCTAACTACTGTGTGGAAAATGCATTGTAAAGGGGCACAGGTGGAAGTAGGAGGCCAGTTTGGAAAATACTGCTGCTGTACTTATCCAGGCAATGGATAGTGGTGGCACAGAGCAGGATGGTGATGAAGATGATGAGAAGTGGTCAAATCTGAAGGTAGATTTGCCAGTGGATTGGATTGAAGTAGAATTTTGGGCCTTAACAATTGACCACAGTAATTTAATGAGCTAGTTAAGACCCAAGAGGAGCAAGCTTTGACTTGTTAATTTAAGGTTCCTTTTTTTTTTTCTTTAATTATTTATTTATTTTTGGCTGCATTGGGTCTTGTTAGGGAGAGTGGGAGCTATCTGTAGTTGCAGTGAATGAGTTTCTGTCATTGTGGTGGCTTCTCTTGTTGTGAAGCACCAGCTCTAAGGAGTCCTCAATAGTTGTGGCTTGAGGGCTTTAGGACACTGGGCTTAGTTGCTCTGCAGCATGTGAGATCTTCCTGGAGCAGGGCTTGAACCCTGGCATTGGCAGTTGGATTCTTATCCACTAGACCACCAGGAAAGCCCTAAGGCTCTTATTAGACATTCAGATGAAGTTGTCCAGTGGGCATTTGGACATTGCAAATCTAGAATTCAGATCTGGGCTAGAGACTGAGTTAGAAATTTGGAGGTTGTTAGCATTCATTTAGCATGTAACGTTATGGTCACTAGGTAATAAGAAGAAACAACGAAGAAAAAGTTGTTCAGGGACTGAGCTTGCTGGTGTTAAGAAAGTGGGTACAAGAGGAAGAATGAAGACCAAGAAGGAGCAACCAGCAAAGTGGGAAGAAAACAAGGAGAAGATCAAATTGGGGGAAAATTTTTTTAAGGAGAAATGAGTAGTCAGTTGTCAAATGATGCAGATAAAACAATTCATAAAACAAGATGAAGAGAGATATATTGATAACTCCATAATGAGAGTGATTTTAGTAAATTTGATTAATGGAGATATTTCTAGCACATGCTAGCACGTGGTTCAGGTAATTTAGAAGACTGTTCATTATTCAGAGAATCATTTAGTATATGTTTATTGATATTTCATTATTCTGTACTTTTCTGTTTTACATATTATAGGCTAAGTTAAAATTTATATATTTTCTTTGAAATGCATATTATAATGAAGTAGATACATTTTCATAAACATTATTTTGTCATCTTTTCACTTCTATATTTGGAGACTTTTAAACCTTAATTTTTAAAAAAATTTTTTGGCCATGTTGTGAGGCATGTAGGATCTTAGTTCTCCTGACCAGGGATCAAACCCATGCTCCCTGAGTGGAAGTATAGAATCTCAACCACTGCACTGTCAGGAAAGTCCCCTAGACCTTTACATCTTTACCTTTACCAAACATGAGATTGTTTTGAGTAGTTAATGCCTAATTGTGATTCTTGATACCAAGAAGCATGGGAGTTTATAATGTTAAAAAGTTTCATTTATCTAATGAAAATAATATATTTTTCTTTATTAGAAATTCATTGAATTTGAAGACTCTCAAGAACAAGAAAAAAAAGATTTACAGACCAGAGTGGAATCTTTAGAATCTCAAACAAGACAACTTGAACTCAAGGCCAAAAACTATGCTGACCAGAGTAAGTAAAATATGTTAAAAGAGTGGAATGACTCATCCTGACATTTGACTAGGATTCCAAATATATGCTTGGAATTGTCACCCCAGACTCAAGAGAGAGATCTGAGATCTAGTTTAGTATTTTTTGTTCACATTTTCATGTCGTACCCATGTCTGCAGGAATGGCCCAAGTCAGATACCTATAGGACTCTCTTTTTCACTTTACCTCTCAGGTTTTGTTTGTAGTTTACATTGAATAGTCGTTAACATTATACTGTATCCATTATACAGGATTCTGGAGTGTGTACATGTGGATCATATCTTCAAATTTTAATCAGCAACACAAAGTTCCATTGGTTTCTGTATTGCTTTGAAATTTAAAAATTAAGAGGAACTCTAGCTTCGGAGTATGTATAAAAAATTACTGAATTCTCTTTCATTGCTCTCTAATGGAAAACTGAGGGCATTTAGGGCTATTAATATAATTTCATATATTCTTGATTCAAAAATAATGATTGTTTGTCATTCTATAGACAAGTCCTCCCTTTGTCTAATGAAAGTGGACCTAATTAAGTAAAAATTCAAAAAAGAAACATCATGGCATATTTTCATGTTTAATTCAGTTTTTTCTCCCAGAATTGTAGACTTTTAGAATTCTAGAGAACAAGAGATGCCCAGCTATTACTCTTCCCACTTTATGGTCATATAGTGACACTGCTGTAAAAGGACTGGCATTTATGAAGAATAACTTTATCAGGCTTAGAATGTGTGTAATAACTGCTTCTTTTAGAACTCTGGAAGAGTTCAGTAGAGCTAAACCTAGAATCATTGGGATTTTGCATTTTAAGCATTTTAGAATTCAAGGAGAACTCACATGGCTCTTAAGCAGATGTCATAGAAGGGAGCCAGTGGATATTTGGTAATGGAAGACAACTAAAATGAGACAAAATGAGTGATGTGTCATGTCTTTTAGGCTTGTAGACACCTGGAGTGCTGTACTGTTCCTTTGTTATGCATGAATCCTAACTTGATTGTGTTTTCATATCAGGGACATATTTTAGAACAAAACACTAAAGCTACAGTTGGGACAGAACTATCCTCTAAATTCTTTTACCTGTCCATTTTCCTCTTAACTTCTGAGAAGTATCGAGTTTTGTGTAAGAAAATTTTCTTTTGACTTTGAAAGGAACACCCTGTCTAGAATCTTTTGATGCATTAAATAAGCTGCTTCTGTGATAGGAAATTATTAAAGGAAGAATTACCTTATACTTGATAACAGTAGCTTTTACACTTGATCTTAGCCAAAAGGCCAAGAAACAATAACAGTAGCTTTAAAAATTAATTTTTTATCCAGTCTAATGAGTCATACCTACCTTTTTTGGAATTGTCATATTCTTTGGTATCCATTCCCTCATTTCTCTCTCAAAAGTACTGTACTGGTTACCATGATTACCATGCGATGGACATGAACTTGGGAGATGGTGAGAGACAGGGAGGCCTGTTGTGCTGCAATCCATGGGGTCACAAAGTCAGACACAATTGGGTGACTGAACAACAATTTTTAAAAATATGATGTCACTTAAAAATAATCGACATTTCTTTATGAAAGGGATGAGTAAATTATTCACCAAATATTGGATATGGTCTTGAGCTAAATTTGATCGGAAAACTTTATTTTTGTTATTAATATAATATTCTAAGAATTTCTCCCCCTGGATGTCTGTCAGCCTCTGCTTTTTTCCTGCTCTTTTGAAATAAATCTTGTCTAAATAACAGTTAAAGAACTTAAAACTGTGGTTAATCAAAATTGACCATTCAGGTGCAAAACTAATAATCCCTTGGTCCATGAGTTAAGGCTATCATCAGTCTCCTTTTATTAATGCTTTGGAACTTACTCCCTTCTCCTTTGATACTTTGGAACCCTTTTTATCTTTTCCATCTACTTGTTTTCCTCTCTCTTCTGTTTTTCTCTGAGTGAGTATGATATGAAATCTAAGAATATCTAAAATTTTTCTTCTCAGATATTTTACCACATTTTAAACATCTGAAAAAAATTGTAGGTAGGGAAACATAGTTTGACCTTTTTCATTTTACTGCTTTAGTTTTTGCTTTCCCAGGTCTCCAATATGAATCAAAGCCCCTTTGTTTTTTAACAAAGTTGATTGTAAGAGGTAATTTTAAAGTATCATCAGTGCTCTATCTTATGGGAAAACTGGGGCTGGGAATATGTTTTTTAAAAAGATGGAAGCATGTATAAATGGATGGATGTCAGAGTATATAAATTCTTTTTTGTATAATGGGATACAGAATATCTGGACTTTAATCTTAATTCTGCTATTTTGTATCTTAAGACTGGGTAGTGATTTTTATTAGAGTCATTGTAACCCAACATCATTTTTTTAGATGTGTTTTTTAGTGTTCTGAGCATCTATATTTAAGCGTTTAAGGCCAAAGAAATTACCGATGATGATACCTATAGAGAGGAAGGATGGATCAGTTTTTTCTATACTATTTTTTGAGTCCATATGATAACAATATCATCCAATTTCCATGTTCGTTTGTATAAATATGTTAGAGTCTTTAACTTTAAAAGACTGTCAGTTTTGATTGACATGTTTGAGGGCACATACCCATTGTAAAAAGCAGTCTCAGTGAAAGTCCAAGTTTTGCTTTCAGATTACTTCTTATGTTAAAAGGGGAAATTTTTATATAGTTACTTGCTATTTGAGAAGCAAGAAAAAATCAAGAAATAGGAACTGAATTAAAGGACATACTTGACAACTTTTAATACTATGGAATCTATCAGGTTTTTGTGGTATGATTTTTAAATTTTTTGATGATACAAAAATTTTGTTATAATTTCATGGTCATGTTTGATTTTGGAAATTTCTGGTTGCTCTCTTATAAAAAATTTGAACTACCTAAGAAATATTCTGGCTTCTGAAACATGAATAAAGCATTTTCTAAAAGGACGCATATTGTTTTATTTGAGAAAAATAGTAACACTTCTTGGTAGTTAACATCTTGTGAGCTCTAAGGAAGAATTTGAAATATATATGGAGTGGTATAAGGAGGTTGTGGATTGAGGCCTTTTTGGTGCTCTCCAGCTATGAAAGGTGTCTGTAGTCAACCTTGCTTGCCATTGATAGTGGTAGCAATGAATTCTTCATCAGAAAATACTTTTTGTATTATTTCTGTTACATACTGATTATTTCTATTTTTATAAACCAAATACTATCTTGATTAAGTCAAGTAAGTACAGACAGTTTAGTAAGTTAAAAAATATTAAACTACTACTGTCTGCTTAGCATTCAGCCTCTAGGTATGTTTTGTCACAGAACAGCATGATATGGTCATTGCAGTAAAGGAAATCATAATTTTGTGGGGGAAAAAGGTTATGTGTATGACCATCTCACCTTTTCCATATGTATCATGCTTTTATATCGCTATATAGTATGTATATAATTTTGTATCTTTAACATTATCATAAGTATTTTCCTTATTGTATAATCTTTAATCATTATTTTAAAAAATTTATTTTAAATGAAACAAAGGAACATTTTTAATGGTAAAAGGTACAATTCACAAAGAAGATAGACATCATAAACCATTCGACACCTTAATAAGAAAGATACATAAAGCAAAAATCAGAAAAAATATAGGGAAAAGAAAAAATATATAATTATAGTGAGACATATTAACATTTCTCTGAGAATATTTTATCAAATGCAGAAAAAAATAAGAATAGGAGCATCTTGAATGATGTTAATAATTTAAATATAATAGATTTATGTTTAATTAATATCACATCCTACACAAATATATTTAAAATTTTGTATGTCATAGATTATTAGATGTCCATAGGACACTTAGAAAAACTGGCAGAAAGATAAAACATTAGTAAATTAAAAAAAAAAAATAGAATTCTTTTGTGTATGTGTGTGTGATTCAGTTGTACATATACATGTATGTTATTTTTGAAATTATTTTCCATTATAGGTTAATACAAAATCTTGACTATAGTTCCCTGTGCTATACAGTAAACCTTTGTTGCTTGCTATGTGTCTATTTTTTTAAAATTAGAAATCTAGCATTCTGTTCTATTCATACTAAGTCAAACAAGTGGAATCAAAATGTCATAATTTTTTTAGTTAGGCAAAAATTCATAAATTTTCTAAAATATATATGTATTATGTGTATTTTTAAAGATACATGTATACAAAAGCTTTTCTAGTATACTAGATAAAGGCTTGAGAAAGAACATAAAAAAGAAAGATGGAGAACTTGGAAAACAAACTAAATGAAGTGGGAACACTGAATATGAAATAGAAAAAGTGAAACAAACTAGATAAAAGTAAGAGATCCTCATATAGTCCAGTTGTTTTTAAATATGACTGCTCATTAAAAACACATCTGAAGCTCTGAAAAAAAAAAAGCAATACCTGGGCATTTGTATTTTTCAAGAAGTTCCAAGGTAATTCTGATATACATCTGGACTTTAAAAAGTGATTACAGGTTTTTCTATTAAATGGCAGTTTTGGGATATAGAATTCTAAGTCTGTTGACCAGTAATGATACAGTGGTATTAAGTGAATAATAGTTACATAATCACAATAGTAGAAGATGTTTGTCAGTTTTCATAATCAATAACCAGACAAAAAAATGAAAGATAATTGTAATTGCAAGTCATAATGGGAACATGATTAACCTAACAATAAAAAATAATTACATACAATTTGGGGGGGGTCAAGCAGAGTGATGTGGGAAGTGGAAGTGTGTATATGAACATGTTTTCATCTGTTCAGCCAGTATGTGTCTTTTGATTGGTGCATTTAATCCATTTACATTTAAGGTAATTATTGATATGTATGATCCTATTACCATTTTCTTAATTGTTCTGGGTTTATTTTCTGTAGGTAGAACTTTTCCTTCTCTTGTTTTCTGTCTAGAGAAGTTCCTTTAGCATTTGTTGTAAAGCTGGTTTGTTGGTGCTAAATTCTGTTAACTTTTGCTTGTCTGGAA